TGCAAATGCCACATGTTGCTGAGCTTGCCTGTCGTGTGGTGCCTAGGATGAAAACTAGGTGAGATATTGCCGCCTTTTTGGTCCGAGACCAGACTATCCGACACCAGCATGGTAGCCCTTCGGGGCAGCCGCTCCAACCTTTGCACTTTGAGCAGGAACTAGCTATCCTTGAACAAGACACCTGGTCTGAGTCTCACTGACGGGAGCAACTCGATTTAGTGGAGCCGTCTTAGAAGCCAGCAACACGCCCTCAACAAGCACCTGGGCATGCACCGTGGACAAAAGGAAGGAAAACATAGGCCCTGGGCTTCCATGTCAGTGTTCAGTGTCAGCTTGAGACTGAGCGATACGTTTTCTCACAGGGAACACGAAGGATTAGTATTCTTTCAGGTTTTGAGGTCAATTGTTTGGCACTTCGAAACGAAGCAACCCCCTTTCAATTAAAGGGAAGCCAAAAGGAAACCAGCCATGGGTGTACTCAGATTGGCAACATCCGCGAGCTTGTCTCCATCTCTCTCCTGCTGAACCCTTTCGGTTCTGGAAGGGTTCCAGGGAAACCCCGACCCCGTTGTTACCGACCGACCGGTTTGTGAGCTCCATGGCTTTGGGTCGCGACGCAGGTCTTGCAACTCTGCCTCCCCGGTGGGGTCAGCGATTTCTCGGTGAAGTACTGCTCAGATCAGGCAGGGGCTCAGCGGACAAGGGGGCTTGGAATTTTGGAGTTTTGGTGATTTTATGGCCAGACCCGGCTTGCCTAGCGGTTTGCTTTTGTTCGTTTCTGACCTCAAGGTCGGATCGTGTAACACATTTTTTTTGGGGGGGGCAACAATTCCGCGACATGCTTGGGTGTATCTCAACATTGCCAACGTTCCGCATTAAAATTCATGGCCATATCGATGTGTGTCTCGAAATGGGGGCCCCTTGCAATTGCTGGGGCTGCCCCAATTTTCCGAATTGGAGCTAACCTGCAAAGGGTAGCCTCAAAAAGAGATACCCACAATGTTTGTTGTGTCTACTGTTTCCGGGATCGGGGCCAGAAGGAGGCCGGAGGCTGGGCCAACCGCATGTAGACACGTAGGGCCCATGATGTAACCAGCTCCTAAGGTTTCGGGGCAGGTTGGTTTGCCAAAGACAACTCTATTGTGTTGCTCATATGGGCAGGATTGCACCTCGCTTTGTTCCCTTGATCCCTGAATGCCACTGGCCAGATGGCCAAGCGCTTCCTAAGGGAAGTTTTGCGATGTCCGGCTAGAGCCAGCACACCTCCAGGCCAACGAACCATTCGCCCACCCCATTTTTCTGAAGTATTGGAGTTTCCCCGGTTTCCCTCAACAACCTGTCGGGATCATTCCCAATTGACGGGAGATCCATGTCCACGCTCAAAACCAGCAGCATGGCCGTGCCAGTGGCCCTGAGTTGTTTGAACACTCATGTGTCGCCACCTGCCCAGCTGGGGGCCAGCTTCCAGGCAATGCTCGCAATCATTGGCCTTGCCTTGGAGGGCCTCGCTGCTGTTGAACGAAATGGAAAGCGAGCGCTGTTGATCCTAACTTAAAGATAGCGTTGGTGGACATGACTTTCCACCGAGTTCTGATGTCCATGAAAGGGTCCGGGACCCCCGACCCCAAAATAGTCGGTTCCTTTGGGTCTCTCTGTAAACCCACCAAACAAAGGGGCAAACTCAAACAAAACACACTCATATGGGTGTGTCTTTTTTGGGAGACCCCAAAGTTTTGTGTTTTCCTTTGGTTTCCCTTCAAAACCACAAAATGTGCACCCTCAAAAACAGACGCGCCCATAGTGAGAGTCCAGGATCATTAAACCTGCAGTTGATTTCTTGTCCCATAGCGGGACTTTCCTGGAAACATCCTATCTCACTTCCTGGTGCTCAGGGAATGAAAGAACGACCCTTACAAACCATTTTCTGTGGTTTCCTTTAAGGGGACCCTGGGTGTCTTCCCTCATCCCCTGCTGAGCACCACTAGGTCCATGCCCTTTTCCCATTTTTTGGGGGAGGGTTCCCCTACTAAAATGGACTACAGAAAAAAAAGTTGGTACCCTTATTCTAACCTCTCTACTGGAGGACCTAGACCAGCAAGATGATTCCAGCTTGTTTTTCTGTGGCGTTTCTGTCGGCGTCCGACAGGACGCCCTGCAACTTCACGCCTCCGTGGCCGGGCTGGGCACGGAGGTTGTGCTGCAGAAGACGGGCTGCGAGGCGTAGGGGGCCCCCAGCAGGGTGACTTGCCGAGGTTTTCCTTGTTGGGCGCCCATTGGGCGTCCATTGGGAGCCCGAAGCGAAACAGACCTAGGACAAATGCCGAAAGGAATCAAAAGGAAAGCAACCTCGCTTTTTTTTTTGGGGGGGGGCCTCGAACTTGAGACAAACCCAAATGGGTATGTCTGGACACAATTTTCCTGGGATTCATGTCGACTAACCACTCAGATCCTAGGTATGGGGTCGAACATTGACCAAGTCGGGGGTATGGCTGGCTTTCAGTTTGGCCATTGAAACTCCCGGCTTCCTACAACAGGGTGCCCTCAAGGGTGGTTGGTTCCCTTGTTTCCCTTTCAACAAGCAGACATGGACCATCCAATGAGCAAATGAGGAAACTGGAGGTGTTCCAGCAGCCAGATATATTTGGCCAAACCGCGAAAGGACAAGTGTAGGAGTGAGGTGGACTTCCGTAGATTTTTGCATGCCGACGGCATATAAGTGTGTCGGTGGCTGGAGCGAAAGCGTGCCTTCTTTTGTATTTATGTCTCACGTGTCCGACCCTTCGGTTTTCCAATGTTGGTTCATGCTTAGGCTCCAAGAGGTTAGCCTCTGATTTCTGGGTCGTTTTTTTTCAACTGAGATTTAAATACCTATGCGTCGACCTGGCACAGTGAGTCACTATCCGACGCAAGCTTCCTGATGTTTTTACAGGACAGGGAGGGGCGAGTTCCATGGCCGGGCCTTGGGAGAAATGATCAGACAGCGACCGGCTGAACCAAGATCTTGGCTGGTGCTCCTTGCAACCAGCCAGCAAAAGGCCATTTGGCCAAGTTCAGCTTCCCTTTCGGGCGGAAGGATAAATAAATCACTCATGTCAGTCAAGGGCAGCAGCGGAGTTATGGATGTGAGCCTACCTTATTTTTGAGGCTAGGTAACTACCGTTTTTGGATGATTTTAAGGGAAGCCAAAACAAAACCAACCATTTGGGGGGTTCCCCCTTGAGACGTACCCATGTGGGTCACCAAGCTCCCCTTTGGAGAGGACACTCAAGCACGGGCGCAGGATTTGCCTCATGCCTTCGCCACGCACTTCCCCTGGTTTCTTAAGTGCTCTTAGCTGGAAAGCTATTTGTTTCAACATGTGTGGCTCGAGGCGTCCCCAACTTGGCAAGGTTTCCAAGGTGGCCCGAGGGCCCAAGGGAGCGCTTCCCACGAGAAAGATCCCGCTGATTCATCCGCCGGGGATGTTGAGCATCGGGCATCTCAGCCTCTCAGGTGGGTGAGCCCGCATCAAGCGCCAACATCAAGGTGATTCACTTCTCAGTCCTTTGGGTCATGATGTTCAGTGTCAACTTTGGCAACCCCTTAGTGCAATTACTCTTTTGCACTTCTTGCGGTCAAGTATCCTCATTGTTTCACTTCACTTAAAGGGCCCGAAGTTCGGGACGCAAGGAATTAACTCCGCACTTCACAGACATGAACCGGGGCCCTTCAAGGGGCTGAACTTCAATTCCAAGTATTCCGCCCAGATGCGAAGAGTCAACGGTACGAGGGGGTACCACATTCATTCAGCTGTCGGCTTCATCCAAGGGCCTTTGGGTTCCAGCTTTGGTTGGCCCCCCTACCCCCCCCCGCCCCGCTCGCATGGTGAGTGTCAGAGTTGAAATATGGGGACCCCAGGCCTCAGTGAAGTCAAGCGGCACGCCTAGGTCGTCTCTGATGAGAAGAAACGATATGCGCTGAGGCTGTGGCCTCGCTTAGCGGTCTCACAACTCGAGTCACAGGTGGTTTGGTGTCTCAAAATTACAGGCGCCTTGCAGATGGCTTTGTTCTGTTGGGATCCTATTTTAGGGTCCCCCATTTTGAGACAAACTCATTTGGGAAGGTGGAGCCAAAGAGTCCGACATTCGCGAAACCGCGCGGACGAATCGGCGGCTGGCTAAAGCGGTGTGCACTCACAGGAAAAGGCGGGACCTATACGTATTTCGGTTTGCGGGGCCGGCACAGAATGCCACAGCCAGAGCTCTGCTGGGCGTGGGGTCAGGTCTCACGCTGGTGTTTTGCTGCGTGCGTTTGGATGTCCGTTCAACGTGTGGCGCTCACCTCACGACTGGCGCCCTTCCATGTCCAATTTGGGCGCCCTAGCTTTGAACACATGTAATAACTCAACTGCAAGCCTGATTTTTCATCCACCGTACCCCGATGTTTCTAGCTGGTCCCCCGCAATGGAGTCAGCAATCTGGTCGTGGCGTGTATTAGCACTCTGCGATGTAACACCCGCATCCTGTTACCAAGACAGTCCAAAGCACAGGGCAAGCTGAAAGAAATGTGTGGTGCAAGGCCCTCCAAAGGAGTTGCCGGGTGAGCTGCTCTAAGACAATCGCGAGAGCATTTCTTTCCGGGGGGTGGGTCAACACCGGTCGCCTTCTGAAGCTGCGAGGCCTGAACATCCCCGCAGGTTTATTGGGGATGATCCAAGCCCAAACCTGGCGAGGGGCGGCCAATAATTGCCATCCCTCATTTTTTTTGGGTGTGGGGCATCTTCCTTGGCCGTGAGAATCAGCAGGCCCCGCGAGGCATGCAGAGTTCCTGCCACGATCTGGCCATGGAGTGCGTTCCCGACCGCCTGCCAAGCAACACCATGAGCCCACCGGCTGCGGCCAACAGGACGGCAACTTGCAGTATTGGACTTGAAACCCAAAGGCAATTGCTTCAAAGCCACACAAAAAACTGCTCAGGACCTGGGCCACACGCACTAGACGCAAACCATACCATCTTCGCCACAGATCTCCAAGACTAGCACCCCATAGCTCAGCTGATGGTCTGCTGCTTTTGCTGCCTACCCGGCGAGGCGAGGGGGGGCGTTGAACTTCTCATTGGGGGAAGCAAAGGCAGAAAGCAAAGACCCAGAAGGGACGTTTGATTGTGCATCCATCGGATGTCGGCAAGCTTCCTCCAACCAGGACCAACCAGCGCCAAGCATTTTTTTTTTGTTTTTTTCCCGGCCGCTTGATCAAACATCCTTATTTGGGCGTCCCTTTCGGAGCTGCTGTTTGAACTCATTTTGGTCGACCAACGGTCCTTCGGAGATGCCATTCTTGACGGCTTCAGTTGGGGGCGGCTGGCAAACATCCAACAGGGAGCCATTTTATCAATACACAAAGCAGGCTTGGACATGACCCATTTCAGGAATACATATCAGATGAATTGGTATCCGGGATTAATTCTAAGTAAATTCAATCTTATCAGTGGGTCCTTTCAACATTTCAATTTTATCAATGAGCAAGAGCAAAGAGAGCGGCCCGAAATGGGTTATTTGGTAGGAAGCAGTCCGTTACATATTATATATGACCTACAGTATTTACATATACACATGTATCAATCTCTCTGTCCAAAATCTGTATAGGTACATGTATATGGCTGAGAAACCCGGGATGCGGGACATCTGGCACAAGGATGGCACTGGGGTTATGTATGGCACGGATGCTTTCTCAATTGGGTCCTTCCAAGCTCCAACCACCTACCGTTCCCATCAGACCAAAATAACACGAAACTGAGACCAGGTGCTGTCCGCGTTGATCACGTCAGTCGGAGTCAAGCACAATGTTGACGGAGGGATACATGGGAGCCAACATTTTTTTGCCCGCGTGCTGCGACAGACCCAGGATCAGAAGGTTGGAAGCTTCGTTTTAGTAGTTTGCCGATGTTGGTGTGTGTTTGTTTAAGGGCACCCATTTCAGGTTGGTTTGAAGGGAAGCCAAAAGGAAAGCGACCTTTTTTGGGGGTCCCCAATTTCGACGCATGCCCCTGTGTTGATTCACTGCCATTCACCACTGATCAGTGGGAAGCTCCAAGTGGTCCAAATGAAATTGAGCTGTACCCTCAGGTTGGTTCCCTTTGACCAGCTAGCGCACCCATCGGTTGGCCAATTGATGCTTTTTCTGTCGGCCCTACCATGGGCTGTATACAAGGGGGCTGGGACGTGTTCCCCTTGTGGCCGTCAAAGACTCCCATTTGGCGGCATTTGAAGTTGTGCTGTTCTTCAGACCTCAGCGTCCCGCCAGGCTCCTTTCCAAAGGAGATTCGGAAAAGCTGAACCCAAAGTGAGGTGGTGCATTGGGGTTGCCCCCAACAAAATCTTATGTGGGCGGCCTTTGTCATCCTTTGTGTTTTGGGCGTATCTTCCATTCCAGGCGGGTTTGACAAGCCTCTAGTAGCGGGGCTGGACGGCACGACCAGTCACTGCCCCCGTTGCCCTTTATGGCAGTTTTCCGGAAATGTATGCCCTGGCCATCGGACCTTACTTGGGCTTTGCCGGGCAAGCCGTCAGCTTCTCAGTCAAGGAGCCTTGGCCATGACTTACATGGGTCCTCACACGTCTTTCGCACCACGACGGGACATCACATCGATACCCCTATAGTCGTTTGACCTGCCAATTCATCTGAAACACTATGCCAAGGACTCACGTTGGGGCCATGTTCAGGGGTTGTGCACGACCCCTATTGAATCTGGCCATCTTCTGTTTTTGAGAACCTCTCTCCGACATCAGAAGTTTGGTCCATGATTCCAGTGACTTCGAGCTTCTGGGTGCGTAACAGGGTTCTCACCGCTCCTTGCCCCAGCCCCCGCGAGGAAGCCCTTGCTCGTGGGGGCCCTCAGCGACTCAGGCACCCTGCCGGCCTTGGTCAAAATAAACCGTGAACAGTTGAAAGGTGGATTTGGTTAGGCTGCTGAAATGGAATTGTGCCGTTTTTCACACAACAAGCCTTGTGCCAAGATCGTGGCTTCTCTGGAAGTCACTACGAATTGGGATTAGGGATCCCTGAATTTTGAACAACCCAGGCTTGCTCGCCCTTTCGCGCTATCGCCATTGCATGCAGTTGGCGATGCTTTTGTTGGTCCTCAAGCGGACTTGAGATTTCGAGCTTTGCTCCGCCCCCAAGTGACTAGTGGGCTGCCAGGCAGCAGCCTGCGACACCACCTGCCTGAAACATCCTGAGACCACCATGTACAATTGGCTATGTCAATTCTTATTGAAGCCTGACAGTCAACAAAACCTGGTATTGAATGCAGTACTCATTTTCAATTCAAGCTTGCTGACAGATACAAGTGGATTTGAGGTCAAGTTTGAGCTTCAATTTAGCAACCAAGTGCCGTGTAAAGTCTTCAAACTATGTTTGAACCTCTATACAGGTATGAATTCAACTGTTGAGTTCAAACACATTTCCATTGTAAATTGATGTCAAGCTCGAGTTGTATGATGGTAGCTCAACCATACCAGCTAGCAAGAGAATCAGATTCAATTCGATCTCAGAGAAGAGTATGGGAGCTTTAAGGGGCATTGTAGCAGTTTACCTGGAAGCACAACAGCATACACATTTAGTATTCAGCTGTATTCGTTCAATACCAAGCAATGCATTGCAAACAATTATGGGGTGGCGCTCCCTTGACTAGTTCCAAGTTTGGCATGCGAAATGAACATGTTTGCACCACGCATCCTTGCTATGTGTGGGTGTTTGCTCTCTGTTCATTCCGCGCCGCCATGTAGAGTGATGCACACTGAAGCAATGGTCGAAATCCCCAGGCTATTTCAAACGTTGATTTCTGAGCCCCTTGGGCCCTTGGGCAAGCAAGTGCTAGCAACTTCAGGCCAACAGAAGACCATGCGAATCGGATCCCCCCAAAATGGGATCAATTGCTAAACGGGGGGTTCCCGATCGATTAGCACGGTTCGGAAACATCCGAGGTGGGAGGTTTGCTGAAACTTGGGCCTGTCACCGGGCCCAACAACTCAGCAAATCGACCTAATCTGACCTTTTGATATCCCCTTGGCCCATATTTCCGCAAGGTTCCAAGCGGCACCCCCTCCAACAACTGCTTGTGGCCAGCTTGGAATTTTGGGCATGGGACAAGTTGTTGGGTGGAGGGTGCTTAAAATAGTTGGCCTTTCATTTCCATGCCCTTTGGGCAAATGAGACAAAGTGACGTGACGCGGGTGGCCGAGGCCCCCCGCTCATTGAAGCCCAGAGCGCCGTAGACGAGGCACACGAGGTCCCCCGCCACGCCAAGGCGGGGGATTGCTGCGAGTCCTCAAACCTGGTTGCATGTCTCAAGGAAAGCAACTGACGGATGAAGCAAACACAAGCCCATTGGGTTCCTGAAAACGGAGGGGCCCTCAAAGCGGTTGGTCCCCTTTTGGCTGGTGCTTCCCAGCCAACCAAATGGGCTTCAAGGAGAGTCGCCAGGATTTCAGGCAAAAATGATACATGCGAATCTGGCGAAGTGCGTGGGGATGAGCCAGCTGCTCCCAAAGGTGTGCAAACGGCGCCGAATCCTGCGACTGCCATGAGGGCGGGCCTAGCCGAGCAGGCAACTTGAGGAGTGCTCGGGGCTGGGGCAGTTTCTGACTGCGCTTGCAAGGTGTGTTTGGATCGCTCCAGTTTCGGCCGAGGGCAACCTGACAATGACAGATGGATGCCTTGCAGACATGAACATTCCACAGGCGAAGCTCCCAAACTTATCAGGGCTGGGACCTCCAGATTGCCGCCATGTCAGCAGCGAGCCCGCTGCTGGAAGACGACAAGGATGCCGCCAACGGCGACGGCTCCGGCTCCGTTGGTGTAGGTCTCTGGAAGAAGGCAGGGGCCGAGTGGCTAGCATAGCTCCGACTGGGCCTTTGGGATCCTCGGCGCCTGTTTTTCCACCATAGTTTGTACATTCCATGTTAATCCCCGGTGCTTGTCCCGTAATCAGGGCCATGCCCCTGGTAAGGAGCCTGATCGAATCCGGGAGATGAGGCATGGTGAGACTTTTCCGGACCCCAGGCTTGTAAGAAGGCTGTCACGGATGCTTCAGTAAAACAATGCGCATCTAAGAGAGGGAAAGAGAGATGACCGCTCCTTTGCATCCCGTCTCAGTCCCCAGGCTTTAGAGTCGATCTCTTCAATGAGTTGGGTACGCGCAACACCCACTCCCTTTTCAAAGGCTGAATGCATGGATGGCACCTGTGGTTCATGATCCCATGAATTTGAGCCCTGACGAGTTTCCCATGAAGCCCTCATTGATGGTCATTTCTTCCACAGACACAACCAGGGAGCTTCTGAGCTTATACCCGCCGTACATTTTGGGAACTTGCACATGCCAACTTTCCATCACAGCTGTGGCACCTGTCTTCAATGCTCTCAATCTTTGGTGCGGGTATGAAAATCGGCCACCTTTCCAGCTGACCTTCCATGCTGAATTGGGGGTAATTGCTCACGGCCCCAAAAGAAACTCGGAGGCACATGACATGATCTCTAAGCTGGATTGATTGGCTTTAGGGTTGGGTGAGACCTACGGATCCCATCGCTTCAACCTGTGGCTGTGCTAAAGAAATGGGCCTGGCCGAAGCGGGGGCAGGTGATTTGATCGTGATGTTCTCCCTGACAGTGGGGCGTATTGCCATCTCTCAATTCCCCGATTTGGATCTGACAGTGGCAGCTTGTTGTTTGCCGCTGGAGGGAATCCAGTCTCTGATTTCTCATGTAAACTAGGGTTTTTTGTTGTACTGACAATGCACATAGATTAGGCCCTGGAAAAGCGGACGATGAGGCCAGGGGCGTCATGATGATGGTGAAGGTCAAGCGCAACGCTGTCCAATGGAGTCGCGACACCAAGCTGATGCGACCCTTGGCGAGCGGTTTTGGTTGGGAGGAGGGTGGGGCTCGGCGGAGGGGAGGCTTTTGTTGGGAGGGGCATGGGCGCTGGGGCCGGCTCGGGCCCTGGCGAAGATGAGCAAGCAAGCAAGCCATAACCGCAGCGCATAAATCATAAACAAGCCAAATGAGCAATATCTAAAACCTCCTTGTACCTGTTTAACAACGACTGTGTCAAATCGACCCGTTGTGCAAGCAAAAACTGGACGGGCGTAAGGTGGCATGATATAGCAACGTGGTGAGTAAGCAATGTGCACAAACCGTTCTTCAATCATCAGTTTGTTCATGTCCATGCGCTCGTCGAGGCAGCGTGCTATCAAGCAGATCAGATCGGAGAACTGTTGGTTGCCTTTGCAGCAATTAGTGGTGAGGATTCCTTAGCTCTCCCTAGCCATGTAGTTCGCAGAAGCCAACACAACTCTACACTCATGCCTGTATATATTAGGCGCGTAAGCCACAGACGTAAGGCACGAGTAAGGCGCGTAAGGCCCTCACATGCTTCCAGCCAAGACATGGGCTGCGTAGAGCGGATCATGTTGCTTTTTCGCCGTGGCTCAGATGGGTTTGTCGTTCCGTTCCGAGATCGCCCGGAACAGTTGATTTGCTCTTGGTTGCTCATTTTGAGCCACTCAGACCTTGGGGCACATCCACATACCCAGAGTCCATTTATTGTTCAAAAAGGGGCCTTGAGGGAAGTCAACGGCACCCTGATAGTCCCAAATTGGAACCTCTCGTTTCAACAGCCAATGGCCACTTTCCTCGCTTTTCCTGCAGGAAACCTCAAGGACGAGGCGGCCAAGAGGCGGGGGTTGGGTGCAAGTGTATTTGCCGGAGGTCCAATGCTTAGGATTGTTCTTGTTGGTTAGTTGGTTGGTTGGTTGGTCGGTCGGTCGGTCGGTCGGTGGGTGGGTGGGTGGGCGGGTTGTCGGTCGGTCGGTCGTTCGGTCGGCAAGTGAGTTGGTCGGTTTGTAGGTTGGTAGGTTGGTAGGTAGGTGGGTAGGTTGGTGGGTGGGTAGGTAGGTAGGTAGGTTGCTTGCTTGCTTGCTTGCTTGCTTCCTTGCTTCCTTGCTTCCTTGCTTCCTTGCTTCCTTGCTTCCTTCTTTCTTGTGTGTGTCGAGGTCCCCCTGTTTTTGAGTGACCAACCTTGTCTCACCAGGTCTCTTCCGCGTGCTTAGGTTGCCCCAAGGCTTCTGCTGGTTTCCCGAAATCCTGGGGTTTTGCCTCCTAGCGCCCCGACAAGCATCTGATGCTGAAAAGAGCGCAGTTGATCTTTTGGACACCCTGTGCAAGTCCTGGGGTCACTCTGCGGCTGGACCAACTGTGTTTGATCAACTAGCCGGTGTTGGACAATGACTTAGCACCCAGTAATCACATCCCATGCGAGCTTTCCTCCCTTTGAGTATTGCCGCGAATTACTTGGCGTTCCATGTGTGAGCTTTCTGCCCGGACCCCCCGAACCGGGCCGAGAGACCCTTTCCTCTACTCGGAAGCCGGGCCTGTTCTCTGCGCCAGGAAGTTTATCATCGACATCATCATAGTGATCACCGTTTTAGGCGTATTGATGGCCATGTCTAAGAGTTGCCTGTTCCACATGGAGGCGGTCGGACGCTGGGACCACGGGCATGCTTACAAGTTCTCCTACGCACTCAGCCTCACCATGATCGTCTTCCTCCTGACGCCTGGTGGCATATTGTGGTGATGCGGTGCGGTCGTCCGTTAAGAGTTGGGTCGGGAATTGTTGGAAGGCAGGAGGGTTCGCCCAGATGATGCAATGTTGAGCATGACGCGGGCTTCCTTGTCACGTTGCAGGCTCAATCCCTCGCAGTGTCTTACGGTGAAAGCTTGGGGCAGCATGTTCCGCACGTCCGGCCTTCCTCATTAGAGGAGTATATGCTTTGGGTGTCTGCAGCTTGTTCACCAGGTGCCTTGCAGACAGTACAGGTATCCCCTTCTGCCACTCTGCCATCTAAGGCCACTGGCTTGCCAGGTCTTCCTTGGTGGCCTCTCATTGCATGGCCAACTCTGGTTTGAGCGTCAGGCTTGAGGGCTCCTTTCCCGTTGACCTGTGCACGTGCCCCAGCACCAGGTTCGTTCCCAGTGGCTTGATGTGTGCTAGTGCACTTGTCGTTGTGCGCCCAATCCATGGTTTGGATTGCTGGTTTTGCCTCCCTTTTGAAGTTTCAGATGGGCAAGGTGTCCATTCCCAGCCTCCAAACCACCACGTCAGAGGTTGATTCACACAACTTGTTTTTGTCAGGAAAGTTCTGCTAGCGCCCATCCACACGATGCTGAAGGCCAAGAAGGACAAACCCGCACCAGAGGTAGAGGAGACCGAGCCAGGCAGGGCAAGAAGTGCGAGAAGGGCGAATAACTAGCTCGCCCAAGGCTCAAGCAAAATCACCTAGGGATAAAACATTTTGCACGGCGATGCTTTATGAAGGTCTTGTAAGTCGCCCAGAACCTCACGATGCCTTACGACTCCCAAGGGTTCCCGAACCCCCAGGTTGCGATGCCAGCCTCACCAGACAACCGAGGCATGACAACTAGGCGAAGATCTGTCGACTTCCCAAAACTCCGGTAATTCTCAAGTTAGTCTGAGACATCACCCTTGTGCTGTCAACCCAGTCGTGTCAACTCGCTCGAGCTAGGCCTATGGTGTGTTAACAATTGGTGTCTTTCTCTTTCGAGGGTGCGAGGGGCATGCGCAGACCGATGCATATCTATACGTACACGGTGTATATCTGTGTGATATACATTTCATGAATGCTATCCACCCAGCATTTTGTGGAACAAAGGTTGGACACGCTTTGCTTCAAGCGGGGAGCTAGCTGCACAAGAAAACTACGTTGCTGAAAAGCAATCCTTCCGTATTGCAGATGGTAGTCCCACCTCGCGTGGATGAGGATTAGGGATCCATTTTGAACAACCCAAGACAATGAAGAGAACCGACGCGTAGTCAACGGGTTGCACATATACATATGGTTGGACGTACATACGTAAACATCACAAGCATTTTATATTGATGGCGTGTTTACGAAACATTTTTTTTGAATCTATGGTTTGTTGTTTGTAGGTTTGCGTTTGTGTCCGTGGGGGAGCTCCAGGCATGTGCGTGAGCTCCAGGCATGTGCGTGAGCTTGTTCGGAGGCAGCCCAGAGGCGAGCCCGACCTGGGCGAGCCGCATCATGCCTTGGCTTCTGTCGCTCGATGGGCTCTCAGAGGGGCAAGCGGAGTTTGCTTAGATCTTCGGACCCGCTCAGCCTTGGAGCCCTGTCAAAGCAGGTTCTAAGAATCCTTTTGGGGGGGCTTTGGTCCCACCCTAGCTTGAGACTTTTACGGCGGGAGGCGTGAAGGGGTGGCTATGTAGACAGAGTC